ATGCATAGGTACTATTATTGTAAAGTCTGAAACTCAGAACAATTTTCGATAAAATTCAGCACTGCATTTGTCCATGATACTCGATGAATAATTTTTATTGAAAATTAAAAACGTGTCAATTCTTTTTTTGCACACCAAAAATAGTAATTGATGAATAAATAAATTAACTATTAATATGGTTCAGGGATTTTCAAAGTGGTAAACAATATTATGCGTTTTGCAAATTTTATTCAACAAATTTATTTTAAAGCAAAAATATTTATAGTGTATGCCTTCCTTACATTGACTTTAATAAAATATTAAAATGCTAATAAATTTATACGATTTTTGAATAAAATAATTTTATTTTTACCATGACTGTATATAGTTATAAAATTTTATAAAAATTAAATAACCCTGTCACTAAGATACAGATAATAACAACACTATACCTATATACTAACAAACCACAATGTAGTATAGATAACATGTATAAGTATTTTATAATTCAAGTTGAATATACATCTATCTATATAAGTTTTCGAACTGTAAATATTATTTTTTTCATTTTAACCAAAATATAAAAATTATACCGATAACACTTGTGTGATAATATAAAAATAATTTAAGATTTTGGGGTTTCATAGATGCTTTACGATAAATATCTGTGCCATAATTCATTAAATAACTGTGAAAATTTAAATTACCAATAGTAAATCATACAACTGCAGTTTACATTTCTAGATGGATAACTGCAGAACTTGGCGATAAAAATTATTGCATTGTAGAGAGTGTAATATAATTTGTAATATATTGATTAGATGTTTGAGGTTCGCTAAAAAAGTTTAATATTTTGTCTTCGATGTTTAGAGGAAAAAATGCCATCAAAGTTGCTTTCGATTAGACTTGGCGACACGATAAAATATTAATAATGTTATTATTGTAGTCATGAATACCCTAATAATAATAATTTCGGATCACACACGATTAGGTCCATTGTTGAGGCGTCGATCATTGATTATCCGACCGAATTGCTTAGCGACCCCAACAGGGTTTTTGTTATTATCAGAGAAATTCATTTATAACGGTGGTATAATAGGTAGTAGTTTTTCCTTCGGCTCTGTACCAAATACGCAAGCACATACATACAACTTAAACCATTTTTATTAGTGGCAGATCCATTAGAGTTTACTGGGAAGCGTTGCTCTAATTCTACCGTTAGCACTCCTCCACGATCGATAATATTTCCTAGCACTACTTTTGCCACTTATCTCAGCTATGTACCCAATATAATAATAACAATAATAATAAAACACATACCCAAATAGGTTAGGATATAATATTGGGAAGTTTTGGAGAAGCAATAAGTGTGTATAATGTATATATTTATACAAATGTAGGTATCGGAAATCGACCATTGTCGTAATAAATGTAATACCTAAAATTCTATAATTTTCTACATAATACAATTTATAGTGGTATATTGCGTGTATTCCCTATGCACAATTATCGAAATATGCTGAGATTCGAAATAATATGCCATCCCCGTCATCAATAACGTTTAATTTTTCTAAAAATTATTGTACACCTATCTACTGTATTGTAATATATAGATACCTATAGTACATATTATTATTGCATGCTTGCATGCCATGTGTACGCTGTAAACTATGCTTGGTGGTTATATACCAATCATGACATTTGATTGACTGATGCGCAAATAGGGTCGGGCTTGGGAGGGGGGCTAAGCTCCCCCTAATGTGAATTCAGCCCCCTGAATTTATTATCGTATTAATGTAATTTTTGTAAAGAAAAAAAATTAAAATATGACTATGAGGACTAAAAAAGCCCTCCCCCCTTTATTGAAATCCCTATTAGTGCCTATGGCTGACGGCATGAACTAATTTAAGAATATCATATACAATCTATTGTTATTTGTTTAAAAACACGGTGAGATGAATGGAACGTCGAAAAGTGAAGAGTAATCGAATTAAAATATTTTTCTTATTATATGACGACCAAATGCGATKTTAAAATATACACATCATATTTATGACTATACGTCTTAAGGCTTAAACTATGGTAACAGAATTATGTATATAATATACACTTTCACGTTTAAATAATAAAATATTGTATAAAGATTTGTAACTACTGTTTAGAAACAACATAAAAATAATAGGATTTTGTTTCGGCCGCTTATAAATAACAATATATGTTTTATTATGATCTAAAATCGTAGTTGTAAAACTTCAGAACGCGTGGAAAGTTATGATATATATATATTAATAGCCTATGTTCAATAATAACACACGTAGTTGTACTGTTTTTTTGTTTGTCGGCTTAGTTGTAATCGGCTTGTTATATTTTGTTGGAATGCAGGTTTTTGTTTGCTCAAATTATATGATGACAATATTTTTTGATACTTACATTTTTAAGCATGGATCATGAATTTATATCATATGCAATAATATTTTTAATTCTTATAATATAAAACGATAATGTTGATGTTCCAAAAAATGTAATTAATAATATTTACTAACACGCGTATTATTATATTGAGTGGCCCTCTACTTTTAATAGTACACAGGAATTTGCTTCAAAAATACAAGGAATAATATGGTACATATGTGTCACAAATTGTATGCATACGAGTGTGATTATTTAACTTTTTTCCACGTATATCGTATATTTATTTCATTTTATTTGTAGGCATTACTTTGTGTGAATGTTTTGGACTCAGGCCTTCGAATATAAAGATTTTATACTAATGCCTATACATTGGAATTGATTTAAATATTAGGTAATTTAAAATTTGAAGGAAAGTTTAAAATTGGCAATAAACAATATATATCTACTATGAGTTCATTCGATTTATTATAATTTTTTTGATGAATAGTTGAATGAAAATGTAATCTAATACCTAACAAACCGTCCAGGAACTTTAAAATATATCAAAGTATGACTGCTGTTTCACATATAAAGTTGTGCATGAGAAATACTTAGTAAAGATCCTAGCCCCTAGGTATATTAAAATTCATCGCCGAATTACTAACTTAGTAATTTGGAGAGGGTATCATACTGTACGAGTCCCCATATAACACAATCATATTCCAAGGTACATAAACTAATGATCAGAAGATAACTTTTGGGGATAATCCATTTTTTAAAGAATAAGATGTTAAAATCAAGAAGTTTTAACGCTTTGAAATATATAATTTCAATTTAAGAAGCTGGATAATGGAGCAAGATTGATTATATTAAAACTAAGGTTTATTTACCATGTAAGACATTTTTATTATAACGTCTTTTCGTGACAGTTATTTCCACATTTAATTATATTTAATTACTGTCGAACGAATTCGACAGCAAAACGATTGTTCTGCAATTCTCATAGTTCTCCACTCACATGAATAGTTTTATGTCGTTAGCGAAACAGGGAATATGCAAAATGTTATAACCACTTTTACAAAGGACATAGAAAACAATATAGGCTGAAGATAATTACATTGGACAATTTCAAAAATTGATGATTTTATAAGAAATTTAATACTTTTACGCGATGATATCTTTTTCAAAATAAGATTGAAGCAATTATAAAAGAGGTATACTGAAACCTAAGAATTTGAGAATTAATATAATAAGAAGTGATAAACTGTGTAGACTGCATCTTGAAGTCTATATGTTTAACACTAACATACTTACTTGCGAATGATGTTTAAATGTATAAAAATCAAAATAAATTATTACTATACACGTTGTGGTAGAGYGATCAGAACGAATCCGATGCTACTCTTCATAATGACTTTAAAAAAAATTGAGAAACTTAAATTAGACCAAGCATTAAAATATTTTTAAATATAAGATTGATTGGTTATTATTAAGATGATGGATTAAATGAAACTACTAGTTTTTAGAACAGATGTATGGAACTAAATCAAAACTGAACATGGAGAGAATGGAGAGAAAGATACACAAATAATATAATATAATAAACGATTGTTGAAGCAGAAACAACCAAGTTATTCCATCAAGGACATATGTCATATTAATAATTAAATCCTCGGAACACAGCGTTACAACTTTAGAAAATGTTGTTAGGTCAATGCAGTAAATAAAACATATAGAATCCTTGAATACAAATATCATGGTATATTTTGTTGTTCCAGTAAATGGAAAATAAATAAGAAGAAAAAGAGTAGCTACTTTTTGCTTATTGAACAAACCCATACCGTGAATAGAGAGCTCTTTGAGAATTTCGTGTTTTTAAATAGAATTTTGAACAATCAGGGAAATCAAAAATACTGTAAATTTATTTAAATCAGACATGTGATTTATTTAATAAATCAAAATTGTTTTCTTTTCTACAAAAATAGATCTGAAAACGTTAGTCAAAAATAATAAACATCAATCTTGTTTTGTAAATACTTGCGGTATGATCCGACTTCAATCTCAAACAAATTAACAATTAATATAAAATAGGTTGCTATATTGGTAAACCTTGGGTTTAGTATAGGTACGTGTTAACCATAGACAAATCAGTATCTATGTATCACACTTATTTGTGAAATAATTCGACCAAGATGAGATATAGCACTAGCTAAATTTTTAATGTGGTTCAAACTACACTTTAAGTTTTCTTGATAACTCTAAGAAAAATTTCTGAAACTCATGAAAAATGGTTGAGCCATTTTTAAGTCTATAAGCCACAACAACACGAAGACATTATAACAATTCGAATAACAAATAATGAATTAAATAATATTTTAATTGGTTTAAAGACACAACAATGTAAATGAGGGTTCGGCATCAGCATAGTTTATGCCAACTTTAGGCCATGATGAGCATAGTGATGAATGTGTTTATTGTATAGTGATGTGTGTTTTTTTTTTTTGTATATACTCGATAAGTACAAAGTTTTGATTTTCGAATTCATTTATCTTTTCTGGTAGAAAAATGAATTTAGTCGTTACAGTTACTGACAAACCTATTTTAAATTGAAATGTTTTACTTGTTTATAGGGCATTCAACGTAGTGGCACCCAAAGTTGCCGTTCCTGGTCAAAGAACCGCAGTACTGGTTAGCTGGAATCCAGCATGCAGTCCCAAAGACGTGACTCTACGGCTCTTGCGTCAGATACCGGTAACCGAGCAACAGCGAGCGGCTGACGACGACGTACTATCGCACAACACCGTCACCATACATGGTCAGTAAAATGCATGTTAAACAATTTCGAAGTACCGATAGTATTATCATAATCTGTGCATGAGAAAACACGATAATTGTGTGCTGCAATGACGATAATAGGTTCTTTTTGTCAAACGCGGTTACCGTTACATAACGTCATAACTCGTTGGTAGGTATTTGTAATAGATTCACCAAGAAATAAAGAAACTATGGCTTAGTAAGTAATGTAAGTAGGGCTATGTAAGTATAGTAAAAATGTCTACTAGATCCAATTTCAATCACCCAAAAAACATATGAATTGCTCATTAAGAAATACAGTATTTTTTTAAAACAATATTATCATAGAAAACKTTATGTTATAATTTTTTTTTTATCTTGTTTTATTAAAAATATAAATTTCATCATAATAGAGAGTATTTATATTTTATAAATGGCCATCTCCATATTCCTTGAAACGTAATAAACGTTGTGAACTTCAAAAAACATAAACTCTCTTCTAAATTATATCATGTTACCACGAAACGTCGTATACAAAAAATAATCACTTGCACATTTTTAAATGTATTTCAACATTTGCATACGTTTTCCCAGAAACACACGAATTTAAAATAGGTACCTAATACAAATAGGTCCGCTGACGGCTATTGTGGATTTTTTACGTTGAGTTCGTAGAATTGTGTGCTTTGTGCGGACTACCTCTACTCCGTAGAGTCAGCGTATATAAACCGCTCTGTTAACGAATTGTTGAAGACAATCGGAAAACATCGTCGACCTTTATTAATTCGGATTAAGTGCTGGCTGTTAWTAAAATACAAACCGAAACACGATTATAACGGTGCATTGCCAGCACAATGGCGTGGTACAATGAACGCACACAAAATACATATTGATAATAATATATTTTATACGCGTGTTCCTCCTTTAAACACCCAAATTAACATGACGACTAAGAAAGGATTCTCGCTTGAGCTCCACTGGCTCTAGGTACAAGTAAAAGGTAAACACGGTCTCACCTCATACATCCGTGCTTAACGCGACCAATTTGTCGGGGTATAGATGGGCGTTGGTGAAGTGGTGGTGGTGGTGTTGGTGGAGGCGCTGGATAATTGTGGTGGAGGGGGTGGAATTTCTGGTGAAGATATAGTGACATAGGATTATACACGTGTGCGTCATACGATATTGCGGAGAGTGGATTATAGACCATAAAGTAGTGCTGAGGTGAACAATACGTGTTTTTATCAAACCACAATTTATCTTATATTCCTCTTAGACGAGCGCCCGAATAAATGTAACGAATTAACGCGAAACCTTTTATCCATAAATTTAATGAGTGATGCCTGTCTAAGTCAATAATCTTCCTCTAATTATATCGACATGCTTAAAAAGAAAATTAATTCAAAGTTCATGTTCAAAACGGTTTTCATTAACGTATAATTATAATTTGTTTAAAAATAATTAATTTTGGTTTTAATTATATAATTTATGGTCACTGACAAAACTGGTACGCCTTTATAATATAAAAYATGAAAAAGTAGGTAAGGTATAAAGAAAAATTCAATAATTATTCATTAATATAATGTAAATTACTTAATCGTTATTAATTTTGAATAATTGTATTGTTTTGCTGGTAACCCAAGTTAAATGACTAATAAATATATTTAGGATTTTAAAAAGTTTTTTGGAGTTTATATTTTTCAATTAATTACATTAAAAATAATATTATTGCTTGTATAAATTAAAGAAGTTAAAATCATTTTTTTTTTTTTTTTTGAAAACAATTAACTTAATAATATACAATTGTTGAAACTGATTTATTATTCAAATATATATTTTAGATGACATGAATTTAGTCTAAGCACCGTGAATTGAGGTAACTTGATAAATTGTTTTGATTTTTTGTTCTTGTACGCATATTTTTTGTAATACTTAAGTAACGAACCTCAACATAATGTTATTGCCTCAAGTACTACTTTATCAGCATTCCCAATTTTTTTTTTCCAATGAACAGTTTTTTTTTCAAATTTTTTTTCAAAGTAACCAAAGTCACACGACTTTTGGAGTGACTTTGATACTACCATTTTTTTTTTTTTTTGTATGTTAAACTAATTGAAATGGAATGAAACCTATAAATCTCACCCAATTTTAAATTTGTTCAACTACTTTGTGAGACATAACTTAAGGTGACTTAGACACATGAATTTATTGTTAAGTATTTTGAGTGATTTTAATCTCATTGTGGCATACTAAATTTAATACTACTTGACTCAAATGTTTTTTTTAAGCTTTATTTACAGTCAATATCTAATGATTAATAGATTGTTTACCTTCGCAAAATGAATATTAAGTAACAAACAAGACACTTTTACATGCATATATATTATATATTTATATTAATAAATTGTTTTTATTTTAAATTATAAAAGTCAGTCTCGAGTTTAATTTTTTAGTATCACTTTTTAAACATGTGTAATAAAATAACATTTCTAGCATAATATAGGTAAAAATAAAAGACAATTAGCAAACTTAAAATAAATATAAAATAAAATTTAATACGTTTAACATTGTAATATATAAGTCCGTAGTTACCTACCAGACATTTCTGTGAAGGAATAGTTAATTAGTTTTAGTCAGAAAATGGGTATAATATATCACGTCCAGGCTATTCTTTCTCAATGTGTATATCAAAGGTAAATAAATACACCTTACACAGTCTTCTACTATTTCAACTTTTGGCATAGGAAGGGCAGCAATAACATGTTCAATACCGACTTCAAATAATTAATTTTCAACAATTTTGAACTTATTTTTGTGCTTTCAATAAATTGCAGTTCATTCGAACAACATACACAATACGCAATCAGTATTTTTTTTTATATCTATAACGGCAATATACTGAAATTTATTATTATTGCTTTTACAAAACCTTTGAATAATATGAAGTTGCCTATTTTTAAAGTATTGATACTAGGCTCATAGTATTCTAGCACATCACTAATTGTTTCTTATTTAGAGTTGGTATTTTAAAATGGTATATTGGTATGGTTTCATTTTTTTTTTTTTTTTAGTTATTGAGGCTTCAACTACAAAGGTTATTAGCCAACATTTAAGTTTAAGTTTAAACGATATTTAGCGGAATTTACCCAATTTTTTCCCAAATTTTTTTTCTATTTTTTGAGTAATGAGTAATCTCCTAATATCGCTCACCATAAGGACGGTAATAGTGGAGTATTATATTATTCAATCTGAGAACAATCTTATCGAAAACAAAACGACATTTTCCGAAGGAATATATTTTTATAATATTATATTATACAGTTTGTACCCACTTTCTGCCTTATCAATCGTTTCATGATTTAAAAATAAACCACAAGTCACGTACAGGATACAATAATATATTATTATGGTATCATGGAATTTTATAGAGTTAGAACAACAATTGTATCACCTATTATGTTCGACAAGGGAACAAGAATATTGGCAAAGCGATCTATCCTCTGTTATCTGTCAAAATTATATTAAATAAAGGGCTCATCCAGTTCAATGCAAAATAAAAAACAGTTTGTAAATGATTATGAAATTCACAAACGATATCATATTATATAGAATCAAATCTGAAATATTTAAAATATCGTTTTAAAAAAAGCTTAAAATAAACAAACTGTTTGGGTGAACTGTTGACAAAAAATTGATGGATTTCTTCCCGGAAAAGGTTGACGCATGTACAATATAAAATTTTAAAGTAGTTTATGTGCGTGAAACACGTTTTGTGAAGATAAAATATACTAAAAAATAAACTGTATGTTGTTATTGGATACCGTCTAAATCTTAGATATTATACCTTTATACCCCAACAAAATAGTTTCAAAAGTTGCCCGATATCTGAATAACTTTTATTTTTATTCTATGAAGAGGCTAATCTGTTAGTTTTCTACTAATCTACTACGAATGACATAAATGGAAACCTCAAACTCCAAGCTTTGGTCATATTATGCAATGGCATTATGTAAATCTGTTTGTTAAAATTATTTGAACATATGGATTTCTTTGATCATATTATCAGATTATACCCAGATATTATAAATTATTGTTAGAAATAAAACGAGAACTAATTAGGCTCACTGATGAATGTAATTTGAAAGCAAATGAGACTGTGCCACAAGGGAACCAATTCGACATGTGAGGTAGGGTCTCGGGAACCAATTTGGTATCAACCACGAGCCCGGTACCTTAATCGAACGCATGTGGGGATTGCCCAGAAAAGGAAACCCACGCGAGAACCTCTCTATATATAGTATAATATATAAATATATAGTATAACACAGGAGTACAGGACTTGAGTGGTCACCTCTGTGGAGGATATTAAGTCCCAGCAGAGTCGTCAAATATTTGCGAGAGCCCGTGTCATTAATTATTGCGTTTTATTGCGGTGAGATGTGTTGGCAGCGATGGTAGTAGTGGTGGTGGTGTGGTGCTAGCGACGGTACAAAATTTGTCGACGATAACCGCTAACTAAGTGGTGTTTGAACGTCGGCAACGGGTAAATAAAGGAAGCGGAAATTCGCAACCTACCAACCGTCCTCAAAGTATCCCCGACCACCTTCCTAACGTGTATCCTTCCTATCAACCCTACCCGCTATCCCACTTTCCATCATGCCCCTTATTACTTCCACCTTTTGTGAGTGATGCCTCACCATCCCATAGAAAGACTCACGTAGCACCACCGTGATACCACCCGCATCAGTGGTGCTTCCACATACCTTCTGCTGAACGTGACTTTAATCCCTTCACGATGATCCCCTACCAACAGACTCCTGTCCCACAAACTCGTAGTATTCAACCACTACGCCACCGGTCACTCCGGTAATTTCACTCGTATACCGTGGTGTCTAACCACCGTTACCGTCGAAAAAAACACCCAGTACGAGAATGTATAACCCAACCATACGTGACACATAATGAAAATGTATAAATATACATTTCAGTTTTATTTTGAGGTAACATTGAAATTTATACACTCCG